AATGCCTTCTGCCAGACCTTGTGCATACGCGTGTGTCGCTTCAGCCTGGCACAGATGTGCAGGGAAGGCATTCACACATGTCCCCCAGCACTGGGAGCGTGTCACTGTATCTCCTGTCCCGAAAGGCTGCCGAGTTGACCCCTTAGTGGCAAACTGCGAAATACTGTACGTGTCCTACAGTACTGAGGTTTCTTGCTATTAATTTTCAGTATCATGTTTTTCTTCTCCATGCTATTTATATCCCTGGCCTTGACAGAGCTGTGTGTGGCTTCTGTCTGTGTATTTTCTGCTTACGTTCCTGCAGTTTCTTAAGCTTCTCAAGCTTCTCTTGGCTTGTGTCCCTTTATTCCAGTAGACTGATACATGGTTTTCTAGAAGTAAATTACCTATCCTTTCCCTCCACTTAGAAACATCTGTGATTAATTAAAATTTCCTTGTCTTCTTTTGAGCTCGGCCTAACTTTCCAGCCTTTCCCTGACAGACCCTGTCTTGAGTGCAGTGGCTCACAGTTGGCAAAGGAAAGAAGCGACTGCGGTGTTTCCATTGCTGTATTCAAACCCAGCTGAGGGTGGGCATCCCAGGGTTGAGGACACTCTCTTACAGCTTTTCCTCATTTTTACAGTACCCTCAGAGTTGTGAGATTGCCCAAACGTTTCAAGCACAGCTTTGAACACGCTTCGTGCTGTGCCAAGAGGTCTGCCTGTTCTGCATCACTCGTAAATGGTTTCATTTCATGTTTTCCCCCCCTGCGACTTTGAAGGCTTAATTCGGTGTGAGCTAACCTCCTCTGTTGCTTAACACTGTGTGTAGGCAGACGGACGGGCCGCTCCTCGGGTCATGTTGCTGAAATCAGATCTTACATACACAGCTTTTATGCTTTCTCAGTCTCATGACTGGAATCCAACTCTGTGTGTTCCTATTCCTCTTTTTTGTTTTCGGCATTTGTCATTTCTGTTGCTACGCAGAAGCAAAGGGTTTGGGCTCCTTATCTTGCAATCTCACACTGGAAATAAAGACAGTGTAGAGCTTGTCCTAAGCAGTCTTTGCCTTTTAGCCTTATGAAACACAAGAGGAGAGACTCAACGGTAATAAACCAAAAATGCCTAATAAAGCTTTGGTAAAATTTCTACTGAGGTGAACCCAAAAAAGAGGCTGCTTCCATCAATTCATCTGAAACGGTAATAAACCAAAAATGCCTAATAAAGCTTTGGTAAAATTTCTACTGAGGTGAACCCAAAAAAGGCTGCTTCCATCAGTTCATCTGAACTTCACTCTAAGAAACTTCCTTGTGATGATGAGTCACGTCCAACCATCTGCCAGATGTTTAAGAGCACCAGGGCACCTTGTCTAGCCTTTCTCCTAGCCCTAAACTCCGAGTCCATCTCTTCCTGGCTTACCGTTGTGCACACCTTTCCTGTACAGTCCTTACAACACAATATTTTTGATGTAAAATATGTAGGGTTGCCAGCATGATTTTAAAAACTGATCTGAGCTTAAGGAGCAGGAGATTTCCATGGGGCGTTTCCTCTTTCTTGGCAGCGTTTCGGTCAGGACAGAATCGAAAACGCTCTGGGCTCCCGGCAGGGATTAGTGGTGTAGAAAAGCAGAAGCTCTGTCTTTCAAATCTAAACAACGTATAAGAAAAATTATGATGACTTGCAGGGGGGGTGGGGAGAGCAGAAGGGGGAGAAAGCTTTGTAAACTGAAGGTTTTAAACTTTATCCACCTCATGTGTGCGTGTCCCTCACAGGAACAATCAGCATGTGGTCATTGCTAATTGTTAGAATAGCTGCTGAGTCTGTCCTGGGCTCTGACTGCTACTTTTCTCTCCAAAATAAAATGAAAAACACATTCTTTCTGCAAAGGAAAGTATGATCAAATGGAGAAGCAGATCACAGCTCCATCTTTAGATGACAGTCACTTGCCTTGCGGAGGAGAATGCTTCAGTCTATTTATGTTCAAACCATAACGGTCCCTGTTCGAGCCCTATTTTGAATTTGGACGTGTTATGTTATCTTGCCTCTTTTACACTGGGCAAAGTCTCTGCAGTTTAATTGCAGCCTTAAAGTTCAGGCAAATATTTACAGCCTCTGCTTTCCTCTTAAGATGAATGGCTTCTTCAAAACACTCTCTTTGCTGTGTTTCCCGCTCCTTAAGTGGTTCACGCTTTTTAAACCTGTCTGGGCAGCTTGAGAAATGAAGTGGGAGTCACAGCCAGTACAATTTGTTCTCTGCTTTATTTACAGGAGCCAAGCAATAAGCGGGTTCGGCCTTTAGCACGGGTCACGTCCCTGGCGAACTTGATCTCTCCTGTAAGAAATGGTGCAGTTCGGCGCTTTGGGCAGACAATACAGGTAAAAAGTAGAGCTTTCTAGTCCTAGAAGTCTAGAGATATGGGGAAGGTACTGGCTGTACGGGGATGAAACAGGCACTGGGATTTCAAGGCATCTCTTCAAAGTCTACTGTGTGATTCATGCAAGGACAGAAAGCTTAGTTGGGACTTGCGGATGAAGAAGAGTTCGGGAGTTCAGAGGTAGTTTGCTATATAACCAGGTTATTGAGGGTTTAAGCAGTAAAAATAATAAGCTGGTTCAGATAGGGAGAATTAGTTGATAAACTGTTCAGTACTTGAGATACGTGTATTGGAGGATGTGCTTCAATGTGAACTGACCCTGCTGTTCAGCAGTCTTTCAGTAATGTTAGAGAAGTGTTATCTAAGGAACACTGTACCCCACGCATGCGACAAGAGCGCTTCTGTGTGTGGGTTTTAGTAACATGGCAAATCACGAGAGCAAAGTTCAAGTGGCTCCTGATTAGCCCCATTATAGGTAGAATTATGATCCTAGTTTATTTACTTACTCATACCTTGGAAATAGACCCAAGCTTTACCTTACCATCCTCCCCTCAAGCGCTGCTGCTGGATTAGTGCAGGGAGAGGCACATGGAAAAGCTTGCCAATCTCTGGGATCTCAGGGCTTTCTCAGCAGCTTGATTAAAGTGTTCCTTTATCTGAGGAAAAGTGTCTGGGTGTGTTTTCCTGCCCTGTGCAACACAGGAGGATGAAGGATTGGGAGGGGTATGGATAATATTATAATACTTCTGTACTTCTGAAATGTTGGCTCTACATATTTTTTTTTCTTTTTTTTTAAATCTCTATAGTCATTTGCCCTTCGCAGTGACAGCAAGTCTCCTAGCTGTGCCCAGAAGTCATGTAGCAGATCTGCTGCTCCTACTCCTCCTAAAAGAAGAAACAGTGTACTTTGGTCTGAGATGTTAGATGTCAACATGAAGGAGTCCCTGAGCACCAAAGAAATTAAGCGCCAGGAGGTAGGCTTTCTGTTGAACAGCAGGACTGGGAAACGCAGCCGAGGCCTTGACTTGGTCCATTTCCTTGGCGGGGAAAGGAGTAATGAGTGTCTGTGGGTGACTGACTAGATTTATTTCTGCATTAGGCATGGGAAAAGGTAGGCTTCTCTCTCTTGAGTCGCTAGGGAGTTCATCTCCCCAGTTTGACCCTTCAGAGATGCCAAACTCTTTCGATGGGGGTGCTCAGCATTTCTGAAATTCGAGACCCAGCCACACTGGTTGCTTTGCAGCAGACCCAAAGTCGGGTTCCTTGTAAAGCCAGCTGTCTTTCTCTTGAAGCTCTTGACAATTGGTTGAAAGCCAAGTAGCAAGGCCTTGGCTTGCCTTTTTCCTGTAGTTCTTAGACAAATCTTCTAGTGACAACACAGAAGCTGACTCAAGGCGCCTGGGATTTGACCTCTGTGGTTTTCTGGGTTTTGTTTTTTTCACACTTGCCTGTGTAAAAGCAGTGATTTAAAAGGCGCTAATATTTAATTTGGCTTGTGCGCGAGCGTCGGAGCTTTCACACAGTTGTAAGTAATGTTGCTTTCTCAGAGCTGCGAAAGCCGGCAGATTTACTTGAGGTTGTCATGCCCAGGTGGCATACAGTGATTCAGATGGCAGAGACGCCTATTCAAGCCGCAGAGACAGGATGTACGTTACGTGAGGCAAAAGGCTCTTTCAGAGGAAGACTGGGATCAAAATTGACTCTCGATGCTTTATCCCCTTCCTCACAGGCAATATACGAAATGTCCAGGGGAGAGCAGGACCTAATCGAAGACCTGAAGCTTGCCAGAAAGGTGAGTGGGTTTTTTCCTGCAGTTAGTGATCATATTACAGATAATAATTAAGTTTCTTTGCACCTGCAGACATTACATATCAGCTTTATCAAGCCCAGAACCCGCAGTTCTGGGAAGCTGATGTGAGCAGTCCTGCAGTTCTGGTTTGGTTGCAACAAACCCAGCCAAAAAAAGGTTTGTGCTTTGCAGAACTGGTTGGGGAATCCCTCTCCCAGATGAGAACAGTTCAGACAGGAGAGTCCTTTTCGTTTGAAGGCCTTGATACCTTCATATAGAGGCGCATCCTTTAGCAATCAAAGTTGATGTTACTGTTTCTGTTGACTTCACTTCCTATCTGTCCTGCACGTGATACATCCCCTCCTATTTAAATTGTCAGCTTTTGGGCTTGGGACATTTGAATATATTTTAATACTGACATTCTTTGACAGGCCTATCATGATCCCATGCTGAAGCTCTCTATCATGTCTGAGGAGGAACTCACCCACATATTTGGGGACTTGGATTCTTATATTCCTCTGCATGAAGGTAAGAGAAACAGGATCATTTTCACATAATGTGCTGACTAGGAGTTAAACTCTATGTTTTCTCATGTTAGAACAGCTTACTGCGGCATTGTTGCAATTTCTGTTTTTGTGTTTCAATTCCAGACTTGTTGGCAAGTTTAGGAGAAGCAACAAAACCAGATGGAACAGTGGAGCAGATTGGGCCCATTCTTGTGAAGTGGGTGAGTACATAACTTGGAGACAGCAGGATAAAAATGAGCTTAAAGAACATTTAAAGTTTGAAGCCGAAAAGCTGTGGGCTTTTGTGGCCTTGAGCGAAAGATTGAAACGGAAATCCTGGCTACGCTGAAAACAATGGGACTCTGTCAGCCATAATGGGCCACGATTTCACCCTGGAGACTTACACTAGTGTGATTGCAGTCATTTGCTGATTTATGTTTGAAATGTCTATATCTTCTGGACTGTTTGTCGCTAATGTGATTTCAATAGTGTTATCGCTGTTCATCTCAAACATCTGAACTTCAAAGGCATTGCATGCAGGAGGCCCTCGTTCTCCTCACAAAAGACTCGCTACATATACAAGATAGTCTGTTAGCTTTTTTGTTTTATTGGGCAAAGAATCACAGTGAGGGAAGTAGAACTCCGCGAGTTTGACATGTTAATGTGATTTGCTTTTCCTGTGTGGAATTTGACTCCTGAATGTTGTTCTGTTCTCCTGCAGTTACCACGACTCCATGCCTACAAAGGTTACTGTAGCAATCAGCTGGCAGCCAAAGCACTTCTGGATCAGAAGAAGCAGGACCGCAGAGTGCAGGACTTCCTTCAGCGCTGCCTTGAGTCTCCCTTCAGCCGCAAGCTAGACCTTTGGAGCTTCCTGGACATTCCTCGAAGTCGGCTCGTCAAATACCCACTGCTCCTGAAAGAGATTCTGAAGCACACTCCCAAAGACCATCCCGATATCCAGATTCTGGAAGAAGCCGTAAGTAATAGTGATTTTGTGATCGTCGTTCTGACATAAGCATGTCATTCTGGAGCTCCAGAAAACTTTCTTACACCCTCAGCAATTTTGTGGGGTGGTTTTCTTGGTGGATGCAAATCTGTGACTGTAACCCTTTGTGAAAGCAAGTGAGCGATCAGTCCGCATGGACTGCATCTTCTGGAGTTCTTAAGTAGAACTTAAAAGGAAGATATACAAGCAGAGGTCACTGTTTAATAATTTGTAAATGTTTTGGTTTATAGATATCCATTATCCAAGGAGTCCTCTCTGACATTAACCTGAAGAAGGGAGAGTCGGAGTGCCAGTATTACATTGACAAGTTGGAGTACCTGGATGAGAAGCAGAAGGATCCGAGGATTGAAGGCAGCAAAGCTTTACTGTGCCATGGGGAGCTGAAGAATAAAAACGGACATGTAAGTCCCTCGTGTTCATGGTAGTTAATTCACAGGTTTGAAAACCTTCCCTCAGAGGTGGTTAAAACCGTTTGTCTGTTCCAGCAGGACCAGGAGCCCTTCCATCCTTAGGGCTAGTTTAGACCATTAGCTAAATTTAAAAAGCACAAGAGAAAGCACCTGATGGCAGTCTGCATTTCGGGATGTAAGGGAAAGCTTCCTGCCGACAACTTTACAATTGGCCTTCAGAAGCTGGAAAATAATTAGCACAAAATTACCGTCGAAAGTGCGCTCTGTGCCCAAGCACTCCATCAAAAGGGATTTCCTGCTGGCTGTTTACTTTCAGGTGCTCTGACATTCCCCATTATGAGCGCTGGCGCACAGCTCTTCCAAACAAAAATGTTCCGGCAAAAGCCTGTTTGGCTTTGAGATGAACTGCCAGAAGTTTATCTCCCACTGCAGCAGCACTGAAAGACCCTGTTGTACCTCGAGGGTTTGCTGCCTTTTGTTCTGGCTTGCAGGAGTAACCTCGTTTTAAACATCAAATCTTTTTTCTGTTTTCTGTATTTTTTTTGTTCGTTGGGGGTTTTTTTGTTTAATTTGGCCATTACACTTCTGTACACATGAAGCATTTTGTACTGTCAGAAAAGATATTGCTTCTAATCATCCTATTCTTGGCATCTGTAAATCATAATTCACTTTTTAAGGGTCGTTAAAATAATAAACCTGTTGATGTAAGTCTGGTCTGTGCCACCACTGCCAGAGCCCTACGTAGCTGTAACAGGAAACTGTCCGAAAGGTAACATGGGTGAAACTTCAGATAAGGTGGCCTTGAATCGCAGAGGATGTGTGACTGCTTTGAATGCAGAGTACAACGCTTCGCTCATATTCAGATGTGTTTTCCCTTTCAGAAACTCTACGTCTTCCTCTTCCAAGACATCCTGGTTTTGACCCGGCCAGTCACTCGCAATGAGCGTCAGGCCTACCAAGTGTACAGGCAGCCGATCCCTGTCCAGGAGTTGCTCCTCGAAGACCTGCAGGATGGCGATGTGAAAATGGGAGGATCTTTCCGAGGAGCTTTTGGCAATTCCGATAAAGGTATGGACTAAACTAGTTCATCTGCATGGGAATCTGTTGGTGAGGAAAGATTGCACCTGGGCATAGATCCCCGTGGACCGAGATTCCTTTAGGATAGCAGACATGTGACATGTTATCATCTACCTTTAGACTGTTACTGCTGGGCTTTGCGGTTTTGTATTGGGCGGTCGTGAAATACATACGACATATATATTTCGTATATGTGAAATTATATATTTGCAGTTGGTGCTCAGATTGGAAAACATCTATTTCAACAGGCCTGTGCTGGGTTGTGGGGTTTGGGGCATGTTGTTTTGATGGGGTTTCAAACACTTTCCCTGAAGCAGAGCAGGGCAGTCCAGGTTATTTGTCTAGCAATGGAATCTCTAAATATTGAGCTAGGAACTGATCTGTTTTTTCCTATGTTTATCTTCAGCTAAAAATATCTTCCGAGTTCGTTTCCAAGATCCCTCCCCAGGCCAGTCCCACACACTGCAGGCCAATGATGTCTTCCACAAGCAGCAATGGGTTAATTGCATCCGAACCGCCATCGCTCCCTTCCAGCGGACTGCCGCCACAGCGGAGCTGAAGGAGCTGCCAGAGCTGAGCGAAGAGTCGGAGGAGAACAACCCCTCCGCGCCCAACGTCAGAGCCCAGAAGAGGCAGTCTGCCATGTCTGGCGTAACCGAGATGGAGCTAGACGAAAGCACGTCCGAGTGTGGCTCCATCCTGGACTCGGAGGAAGCCAAGGGCGTGAAAACACAGCAAACGCCGACTGGGCACAGAAAAACGAGGGAGAAGCAGCTAAGTGGCAAGCGGAAAGAAACGCTAGTGTAAAGAGGAGCCCAGCAACATGCCGGTGGAGGACTGTTTATTTATAAATAACGTGTACATTTTTCTTGTAATGTGAGCATGATTGGATTCACTCTACTGAAGAGAATTTTTTTTTTTTTAATGTTGTAATGGCAGCTACTGGTATACAGTTAACACTGTTGAACTGGAGTCTGTTTTTACAAACACACCCACTTTGAACCTGGTTTTAATGCTGTGAGTGATTCAGAAGCCCTTGTTGGTTTTGACTGCTCCTGGCAGATTTGAAGAGCAGACTTTGATTTCTGAAAGATTTCCATACGCAGTGTTTGAGGCTGGAAAACAGTAAACCTAAAGCAGAAGTTTGGGCCGTCACCGCGGGCCTGGCAGCACCTCCCTGTGCAGTGGGTTTGGAGCAACGCTGCAAGAGTCCTTTTAAAGTGGACTGAATTCACGTTTTCTTGTCTTGTACAGCACACGTTCAGCGTATGGTTGTCATAATCCATGCAACTTTTCATGTTAAAAAAGAAAGGAAAAAGAAAAACCCAAACAAAACCAAAAACCAAACAGACCCCAGGTTCAACAGGTTCTCAATTTACCTACTGGAATCTTTCATCTTAGTGTGTCCTTTGTACATTCCTCATTTTCACTCTTGTAACCTGCCAGATATTTAAATGTTTTTATTAGTTGTTTTGTTTCAAGTTTGTTTGGGGGTTTTTTGGTTTTCTTTGTTTTTCTCTTTTTTTTTTTTTTATATTTTTGTATGTTGTTGTTGTTGTTGTTCAGACTTGGCATTTCCTTTCAAGTACTTGATCCTTCTAGCTCCGAGGTGTGCGTGTAAATACCGTTTCTCACCTCACTCCACAGCTCTGCGGAGCGCAGGCAAGCCACGCAGCGTGACGAGCCGATGTCTGGGAGAAGATGCTCAACGTAACCCGTTACGATGAGCGACGTAAAGGGCTTGCGTGCGCTCCGGACTACTGAAAGAGAACTGCATTGCTAACGGGGTTTAGGAAGGTTTTAGTCACGTTGTAAAGGGTTTGGGGAGGGAAGAGGAGCAGCAGCTAGAGGGGAATAGCAGGGAGTGAAGGTAGATTTTTCTTGTTACTGTTGCCTTTTAGAAATGAAACGCCTTCCGCAGGGAGGCAGGATTGGAGGCAACCAAGGGGTTATTGCATGTGGTAGAAAGGTAGAGAAAAGAAAGCGTTTGAAGCTGATGAGGTGTAAGGACAGAAGAGATAGTGGTTGTATATACTCGTAACGGTGATGCTGCCATGTTCTAGCTGTCCAAAGATTCCCGAGAGAGATACCAGCTTGGTAACTGCGCTGCAGAGCGTTGTAGGAAACAAAGCAGTGACAGCCTTGAGCACAGCCAGCAGGTTGTTCCTGTCACCCGACTGGTGATGACAGGGCGAGGACAGCGATCCCACGATACCTGTCCTCGAGCGTCACCTGGAATCTGTGCTCAGGGAGCTGTAACTCGCGTGTGAAGGGTTATTGCCTGTCACCTGTTTGGCCAGTAACGTTGGCAGTGGGAAGAGGGTGTACATAGACACAAACGTGTGGTTCTCTGTAAATGTATTGTACAGCTTCGAGTGTCAAGTACAATTAAATTCCTGACAGCCTCTTGCCTGCCTCCTCTGAGTTGTTGCTGCCTGGGAGGGACCTGCTCATCCCATGGGTGCTGCCAGACGGCTGCAGGTACGCGCCTACCTGCACTTCTGCTGGGCATGGGGCTGTAGCTCACCGGAGGAAGCCGTGGCTTTATTCGAAACCCTTTTTCGGTCACGGTTCCTCTTTGCGCCGC